GGCACCCTCTCCTGAATTCAAAGGCATGTGATACACTTACATATGTGCCAGTAAAACACATATATAAAATAATAAATATCTAAACTATTACACATGCATACACTCAACTGAATAAAAATGAAAATATGAACTTCCAGCTCTGTGGGACATAGGTAAAACAGTTTCTGAGAGTGGAGATGTTGCAATTTAGATCTTCAATGTCCCCACATTCAGCTATTTGTTTAGGGGAAGGGCAAATGCCTCAGTGTGTAGAGGTCAGAGGACAACTTACAGGAGTCAGTTCTCTCCTCCATATGAGTTCAAGGACTGAACTAAGGTTGGGCTTGGTGGCAAAGGTCTCCATTACCTGAGCCATCTCACCAGGTATCCTGTTTTAGAGGCTTGGTCCCCAGAGGGCAGTATTGAGAGGTTCTGTAAACTTGAGTGGTATTCAGGACATAAGGAAACCATGGAATCCTCTTTCCCCTCCCTCCTCCTACCCACTCCCAGACTTCACAGTAAGGAGGTGAACAGCTCTCTCTGTGACACTCCTCCCATGTTGTGCTGCTTTAATTAAAACGATGACCCCAAGAGGTCTTGGGACGAAACCTCTAAAATAGGCAGCAAAATAAACCTTCCTACTTGTAAGCTATTGGTTTCAGTATTTGTTACAGTAGGGAAGGGTGGCTTTGCATTGACTCATATCTGACTGTGGACAGGTTTCGGAATTACTCTACAGGTACTCAGAGAAGGGGTCTCTATCCTTGCCATACATTTCACACTTTAGAAAGGGATGGGACTGTCCTACATTAAGAGTTTCTGTTTATCTACTTATTTGCTTGAATTTCATTTGTTTGTTTTGTTTGTTTGTTTGTTTGTTTGTTTGTTTGAGACAAGCTCTTATTACATAGTCCAGGCTGAGCTCAAATTCATGGCAATCTTCCTGCTTCAGCCTCCTAGTGCTGAGATTACACCATACCCAGCTCACAGGAAGACAATCAGGCTAGAGAAAGCTTTGGGTCGTACAAGCCATGTTCAAGAAGCAATTCCAGAAAAGAGCTCCAATCAGAATGCTGACAAGAATGTGTCAGTGAAGCCTGTATTGTGGAGGTTTCGGGTGACAATGAGGATATGGTTGGGATCTAGATTACAAGCAACTCTTGTTATCCACAGCAAGAACCAGATACATTTTGTCCATGCCCTAAATCTTTTTAAGTATCCAAGCATAAAGGTGATAAGGCAGCTTAGGTGCAGAAATTTGAAAGCAGCTAAGTACTTGGGCACTGCATGCATACATCTAGATGCTTTTAGCCAAATGCACATGAGAACAGGAAGCAAAGAACAGCCTAGAAAGTGTGTGATATAGACAGTATCCCTACAAGCAATCCCCAAATAGTAACTAAGTCTTTGAGGGATGAAAACCCTAGGAAAATGATGACAGCAATGTAGAATACCACTAAAGAAGGCTGCTGGCAATGTGCAAAGCCAGATCAAGAGTGGCCAAGTGGCTAGCAATACAGCTGTAAGCTTGCAGGTACTCTGGCCTTGGAAGCCCACACCTAATATGTGTCCTAAATACCAGACATGGAAGTTTAAGATTCAGTGTTTGCCACACTGGCTTCCAGTCTTGCTTTGGTCCAATTTCTTCTGATTTCTCTATTCCTCGTTTGGTATAGGAATATTTGCTCTTTTGCCTCTTATTTCAGAGAAGCTGAAACTTTATTTTTTGTTTTTTTTTAATAAGGGCTCACAACAATATTACAGAAGAAAGCTTTGAATTTAGACCTTTGAGCAATGATAAACAGTTAAAATCTAGGGAACTCTTTAGAGTTTAAATATTTTTAACAGTATGAGATAAACATAAACTTTTGGGACCAGAGGAAGAATGTACTTTGCATCTCAAACATACCAAAGCTCATGTGTAAAAGTTTGTAAGATCCCCAGCATGGTGCTACTGAGAAGTGGCATAAACTTTAAGTTTGGGGGCGGGAGTGTTCCTAAGACAGATATTTGTACCTGCATTCCAGAGGCTTATACGACCCTGGTCTCCTCCAATTCTCTTTTAGTTCCTGGCCATGAGGTGAGCAGTTTTGCTCTACCATGCAATCTGCCATGGTGATCGCCACTAGAGGCCTAATAGGCACAGGCCACCTAATCATGGACAAGAGCCTCTAAAACAGTGAGTTGAAATAAACCTTTACTCTGAACAGTCTGATTTTCTCATCTATTTGTTGTTGAGAGAGAAAGACAGACGGAGAGAGAGAGAGAGAGAGAGAGAGAGAGAACATTTAAAAGAAGTCTCAATAATCTAACTTCCTACCTGAAGAAACTAGCAAAATGGGGGCTGGAGAGATGGCTCAGCGGTTAAGAGCACTGGCTGTTCTACCAGAGGTCTTGAGTTCAATTCCCAGCAACCACATGGTGGCTCACAACCATCTATAATGAGATCTGGTGCCCTCTTCTGGCCTGCAGGCATACATGCAGACAGAGCACTGTATATGTAATCACTAGATAAATCGTAAAAATAAATAAATAAAATATTTAAAAAAAAAAAAAGAAACTAGCAAAATGAACCAAATCTATGCAGAAAGGAATTAAGAAAAAGCAGAAATCATTGACACTGAAAAGAAAAATAAAGATATGGTTATTTTAAATGATCAATAAAATTGGCAACCTAGAACTAAGACTACGAAGGAAAAAAAGACACAAATTATGCAGACAGAAATAGAGCAGGGACTATTACCATAAAACCTACAGATATCAAACTGTAGGGATGTTGGAACTACACTACATATACACAATGAGCCACTAGGAACTTTCCTTTTAAAAAATATCACAGTTCATCTAATTTGAAAAATTTGACTAGCTCTGTAAATATTGAGAAAATTTCTCACTTAACTCAGAAATTATCTGTAGCTTCAGACTGAAGAAAATGATTTAAAAATAAACAACTTTTTCCATGTCTTTCAGAAAACATAAATACCTAACCAATTCATTTTTAAAGGGTAGTATAAAGCCTGATAGCAAAAATAAAAAAAGGGAAAGAAAAGCATTCATACACACACGTACATACATCCTTAACAAAGTATAAGCAAACAGAATTCAGCAATACATACTTTTAAAAGCACATGATGATACAGGGCGTTTCCTGGTACTGCAAAGCCAAGTGATGCATGCTCTTTGGTAGCACATCTCTGAAAACTTGACACATCAAGCAGGAAAATCCACCACCAAATTAACAAGCTTATGGTGAAATCCACATAAAATATTTGATAAAATCCAATAGCCATTCCTGGTTTTAAAATAAAATCTTTTAGTCATAACATGGCTCTTACACCCATGAATACAGCACAAAACTTGCACAAAACTAGAGTTGGGAGATGTGCACAGGGAGAGACAAATAGGCAGAAGATTCATAAGGCACTAAAGCTACGCTTATGATACATTACGGTGACTAGACACATTAATAAATCCCTCCAAATTCAGAAGGCATACAATTCTGAGTAAACTTTAATCTTAACTATAGATCTGGTATATCTTTGCTACTGTTCTCATTGCCCTTACCAAATCCCTGACAAGACAAAAGAGATGAAGGATGCTGCGTCGTGAAGGGTCACTCCATCAGGGCAGGTGTTCTACCTTCATTTCTGCTGCCAGGATAAAATAGCCTGACAGAAAACACTTTTGGGGAGAAAGTGCTCATTTGGCTTATACTTACAGACTACAGTCATGATTGAGGGAAATCACTGTGGCAGGAGCCTAAGACGATTGCTTGTATCATATCTACAGTCAGGGGCAGAGTGAAACAGATGTACCCAAGCTGCCTGATTGCTATACTGTGCTTACACTCAACTAGCTTTCTTTACTCCTGTACAATTGGAGGCCCACCCTGGGGAATGGTACCACCCATGATGGGCTAGGTCTTCCTAGAGCAGTTAACAATCCAATTAATCCCTCACAAACACACCCACAGAGATAAAGACAATGAGCTCACCTGAGACTCTCTGCGGGAGATTCTAAGCTGTGACAAGCTGACATTTACAACTAACATAAGAGCTGAGAAGACATGGTAGCATAAATGGCTTACAGCTGTGGCTGGGGGTATCACAGCTGGGCAGATGAGAAAGCAGAGAAAGAGGGATGCCAGGCTTCATCTGCCTTTCATTTTCTTTTGTTTATTGGGTCCAGGACCCAGGTCTGTCTGCCTCAGTTAAACTATACTGAAGATGCCCTTGAAGATCTGCCCCCAAGTGGTGTGTCCCCAGTGTAATTCAAAAGTCCTCTCAAACCGACAGTGGAAATTAATATCAGCATGTGACTGTGATACGCTCAAATGAGAATGGCCCCCATAGACGTGTATGTCTGAGTATTTGGTCCATACTTGGGAACTGCTGGGAAAGGATTAGAAGGTACAGCCTTGCTAGAGGAGGAGAGTCACTGGGAGCAGGCTGGAGGTTTCAAAAGATTCTCATCCTTCCCAGTGTACTCTCTGCCTCCTACTTAAGGCTCAAGATGTGAGCTATGAGCTACTATTCTAGCAGTTTACCACCTCTGCTCCCTCTTCAGAGACACTGTAACCCTCTGAAACTGTAAAGCCAAAATACGCTCTTTCTCTGAGAAGTTGCCTTGATCATGGGATCTTATCATAGCAACAGAAAGTAACTAATACAGCAATAAATGGCAATACAGGTTCATCAAATAATAATGAATGCATTACTCTGGTCAAACAGCAATAATAGGGGAGGGTGTACATGGGTGGGGACAGGGTGTACATGGGGAATCACTTTCATCTTCAGTCAGCTTTACTGCTGCTCCGAAAATACACATAAATAAAAACAAAAATCTTTTCTGAATGCAGGGGAAAACCAAATATACAGAGAATTTGATATTTTATATGTAGCAACACTGACTACTACCAACAACACAAACACTACCTTATAATCTTTAGAATCACCTCTTGAATAACCTCAGTTCATACCATTCTCCATCACCTTATCTTACCTTACTCTACATTAGCTTACCTTCCACGCTGTCAGAACAGGAAGTGCCAATGCCAGTGTCTCCACTGTCAGAAGTTATACTGTGTCTCCTGATATGGCTATTTCGATGGCTAGATGGAACAGTTGTGGCCTGCCACAATGACTCATTACCAGGTAACCATGCTGATGAATAATCCAAGCCTATACAGGGAAAAAAATACAAAATTAACACATGTGCAATATCTGTGAAAAGGCAAAGTTTTTTTTAACCTTATAAACAAATATACATATATTTCGCCCAAAATAAAAATAACCAACAAGATTCAAATTCATTGAATAAAAACTACATATCACAGGGATGACTACTGAATGGTGACTCTGCGCCTTCTGACCTCAGAACCACTTTCTGCTGCTAGTTACTCAACTTTTAAAGATGGACTGCTATCTGATTTAAAATCACAACTGAGACTGGGCATGATGGCACATGCCTTTAATCCCAGTACTCAAGAGGCCGAGGCAGGCAGATTTTAAGGATCTCTTTGAGTTCGAAGCCAGCTTGATCTACATAGCGAGTTCCAGGACAACCAGGAATACCTAGTGAGACCCTATGTCCAAAGAGTAAAATCTAAAACTACTAAACCAACCCTATGCTGCCAGTGTGCCGGTGCACAACTGTAACCCCAGCACTCAAGAAGTGCAGGCAGGCAGGAAGACTGAGCCCGCAAGGACAGCTTCAACCACACAATGAGGAAGCCTACCTAGACCACCGACGCAAGGTCTCGAAAACAAACAACCCAGAAAGCTAAATCTATCTTCAAATGTCAACAGTCTGCCCTAGAATATTTCAATCAGACACCTCGGATTCCACATACAGGCCTTAGCTGTGAGCTGACCTCAGCGGGGGTCTAGATGAATCCTGTTACATGACCAGAAGATACTGAATGTACTTGCTCATCATGAAAGGTTTCTTTAAAAAGTTTCTACTGTAGCCTAGCCACTTAAAATATAGTGTATCTCTTCGCAGAATTTTTGTTTCCTTAATTATCTTTTGCTAAATTGTTCGCTAAAACTTCTTTTAAAAGTTTCAAATAGAGTCAGGAGGTGGTGGCCCACCCTTTTAATCCCAGCACTCAGGAGGCAGAGGCAGGTGGATCTCTGTAAATTCAAGGCTAGTCTGGTATACAGAGTGAATTCAAGGATAGCCTGGTCTACAGAGTGAGTTCCAGAATAGCCAGAGCTGCTACGGAGAGAAACCCTATCTGGAAAACAAAACAAAACAAAACAAAAGTTTTAAATAAAAAACATCACACACCAAAATTAAGCCAACCGAAGTCTGTACATCTCAATGAACGTCTACACAGTTAGTACAGCCACACAGAAGCTGTGGAATTCACACTGGATTTTACACTCCCGTATATTTTCATGTACTTACCCACTCCCCAAAACAAAAAACTCATGACAGAATTAGAACAAGAAAACAATTAGCTTTTGCTAAAATTTAACAGCCAGTAAAATAGTCTCAAAAATTCAACTGATTCATAATAAATGACTCAGTCTGTTCATTCTTCTATTTGGAAGAAAGGCTTGCTCATCCCAGAGCACATAATAGCAAGCCAAGATGTTTACAATATAGTAATTCCTAAAAGCCTTACTAAGGGGATTTTTTTTTTTTTTAAGGATTAGAAAGATACACAAGTCTTTCTTTCAGATCTCTTTTTCCACAGTAAAACAATCTCAGTTTAACTATATGGTAGATAAACCTTGAACGATGTCAAATACGAGTGATGGTTAATTTTGTATGTGAACTTGACTATGTCACTAGACCATAGGGTGCTTATATATTTGGACAAACATTTCTTAAAAGAAATATTATTACACATATTAATTTAGAGAAAGACTCTGTGTGTGTGTGTGTGTGTGTGTGTGCGCGCGCGCGCACCACAGTGTGTATGTGGAGATCAGAGGACAATTTGCAGGGGTTGCTTTCTCCTTCTACCATGTGGGTCCTGAGGAATCACACTAAAGTCTCCACGCTTAGCTGCAAGTGCCTCTACCAGCTGAGCCAGGTCACTGGCCCTGGACCAACCTTTCTGTAAGGGTATTTTGGTTTGAGGTAGCAAATGCATTGGTAGATATGGTGAATGACTCTGCTGTCCTCAATACGGGCAGACTATATCCAAGCAGCTGAAGATCTGAATAGACAAAAAGCTTAGAGATTTTTTTTTAAATGCCTGGTGACCTCTGAACTAAAACACTGGCTTTTCCTGTGTTTGGACTTGAAATGCAGCATAGGTTTCCTGGGTGTTGAGCTTACTGGCCAAGACTAAAACAATACCCTCAGCAACTTGCCACTTCACCAGATCTGGGGTCTTTGTCAGTGTGCATCTAAGAGAGTTCTTAGAATCATAACCTACTGGATCTGTTTCTTTGGAAAGCACTAATACAGTTTTGGGAGAACTAGAAAAACTATGAAAATAATGACCAGAGTCTACAGTTTCCCTCACTGTACTTCAATGGTTATATCCTTATAAGCCCATCATGAATTTAAAATATCACAAGTGATGAATGAATTTCAATACTCCTACCAAACATCCATGCTCAGTGACACCATATACTGTAGAGTATCACTATGTATCCTTGTGAAAAGACAGCTGACTGAGCTTTTCCTACAAGTAACCTGTCACTAGAACAGGGAAAGATCAACTTTGAAGGCAGTCTCTACTACATATGCACCATTCTTGCGTTATGGTCAGTCATCACACATTAGGGACTTTATATGCAGAAGAGCCTCTCCTGAATTAGCTGCTCAGAGAAATGGCTTCAGAATTTCCTTCAGCAGCCTGCAACCTTATAAGCTGTACTTCTCTTATTCAAACACAAAAACAGGCCACTATGAAGTGGATTTAAGTCATCAACTGCTATCTAAAATCATCATAAATGATGATGGTTTGGGTATACTCACACACATACACATTATAAAAGGTATAAATAAACTTCAACACCCCCAAAAAAATTTTTTTAATGGATAAAAGAGAAATCTAAGAAATGCACAGATAGATGAAAAATTATTGTAAAAAAAAAATCCAAGTTCGCTGTCAAATAATTAATGTGAAATCCAAAAGGTAACCTAGCCGAGATATTGGAACAAAGAACAAAATACTCCCATATACTCCTAAAGACAGTTTTAATGTGTGCATTACAAAAAAAAAAGGAAAAAAGAAAAGAAGAAAAGTCAGGCAGTGGTGGTGCATACTTTAATTCCAACACTCAGGAGGCAGAGGCAAGAGGATCTCTGTGAGTTCAAGGCCAACCTGACCTACAGAACAAGTTCCAGGACAGTCAGTGCAACACAGATACCTGTCTTAAAGAAAAGAAAAAAGGATAAACAACTTGAAATGGGCATAGTATAATCCTAGCAGTCTGAGGCAGGAGGATTGGAAGACGAATTAGCCTGGAGAACCTAAGGAAACTGTATCCAAAAAAAACAAAAAACAAAAAACCCACAACCACTTTAAAAGAGCAAAAAGAAATATGTAAATCTAAACTCTGGAAAAGTAGACCTCTAGACAGAAGACAGTTCCTTAAAAACTGTTTCCTATTAAAGAAAGGGCAAAAGGAACAGAACTTTGACTATTAAAATAATGTCCATGCAGGGGACCAGATGGCTTAGCAAGGAAAGGTGCTTGCTGGCGTACCCGACCCCCTGAGTTTGGTCCCCCAGACCCAGAACCCACATGGTGGAAGAACATCTGACTTCCATGCTTGCACTGGTTTGGGTGTACTCACACACATACTCACGCACACACAATAAATAGGGAATTAAATGTAAAAGACAATAGTGTTAACTAAGGATCTAAAATGCTTACTTTGTCAATTTAAAAGGATGGATTTGACACGAAGGGAATTCATAACCTCAGGCTTCAACCTGTCTAGGGAGTCTCTGAACTCACAACCCACTTCAAAGCACAGCCACCAATCTCTGTACCTAGTCCCCTAGGCAGGAACACTGGCTGGGCAGAGCCCACTGTTCCCAGTCCTTACTTCAGTCTGACTGGAGAATCAAATGAAGAAAACATAAGGGGACTGGAAAGAACCTCATCCAAACACTGCTGGGGACTGCTCTGACTTCCATGCTTTTATTTTACATGTTCTGACTCCATGCTTTTATTTTATATTTTGACTTACCACAGTTTAACTTAGATTTTTAGAAAAATGTCCTATTTCTTAAAAATGCTTACCACTAATAAGACTAATAGCTTAGCCATTTAAATGCTACTTAACTAAAGTCTTAGGCATTCTCTCCTGGAAAGGAAATAAAGTATTGGCCTCTTCCAAAATAAATGGATTATATCCTAACATAAACTACTGAAAGTCAAGTGTTTGGAAATACAAAATTGGGGGTTGGGGATTTAGCTCAGTGGTAGAGCACTTGCCTAGCAAGCACCAGGCCCTGGGTTCGGTCCTCAGCTATGGGGAAAAAAAAAGGGGGGAAATACAAAATTGGTGAGATGCTGGTTTCCAGATACGGCATCATCACTGCATTCCTGAACTCACAGTTACCTGCATAAGACCAATCAATAATTCTAGCATACGGTGGGGAGGGGGATCGTGAGGTTCCGCCCTAGCTGAGAGATGCGAAGACACTGTTCTTGGGGATGTGGCCATTGCTAGGTTGCCCATGTGCAGGAAGTAGCACTAATTGGACGTCCTGGGTTATGAACAAAAGGAAGATGACATGAAGGTCGGAGAGGCACATGTTAGGGGAGTACTGGGGGGTAAGTGGGAGGGAGAACTGGAGGGGATATAATCAAGACACATTTTACATATTATTAAATTGTTAAAAATACAAAATTCTACATGAATACACACAAAATAACCTGAAACAAAAATGAAAAAATTAGGGACTGAGGAGACGGCTCAGCCAGTACAGTACTTGCTCCATAGCCTGTGGGCCTGAATTCAGTCCCTAGCACCCACACAGAGCCAGATGTAACCCACACCTGTGAGCCCAGTGGTGGGGGGACAGAGACCAGAGGGTGGCTGGGGCATTCTGACTCCTCTGTCACCAAGACGGAAGCACTGCTTTAAGGATATAAAAATCTCATGACCCCACCCACTGGACTATAAAACCTTATGTTTGATTTTTTTCAATACTAATTTCACCTCCTGGGAATGCCTGGGGACAGGACAAAAAAATAATA